AAAGATCAGACGTAAAGGCAGCCGGACCAAAGCCTGACCTTTGGATACCAATTTGTCTGAAATGTTACTAAATTTAGCAAGAAAGTCAGTGGGTTGGCAGCAGTGGGATGATTACTGTTAACTACAAACGTTCTGAGAGAGCAAAAGAGGAGAGGTCCTGATCTTTTGACCTTTGCTGATGTAGATAAGATCGGTGGAGAAGATCGGCTTCAAGTATCGGTATCGGTCGATCGCCGATTTCCCAAACTGAATGAAATCAACTGGCTGATAAATTGGTGCGCCCCTTCCTGAAACCCAGACATCTCCCCAGGTCTTTAAGCAAATATGTTCAAACCTTAAACTTTGAGACCCACAATAGGAATGCAAAAAATGTATTGGTTAAATTTAGTTCCACTGGTTAGACCTTCTTTCCGGTTTGTAGTTTGCCTGCCATCCAGAAGAGGGCACTACTGGTCATCCTAGAGCGGAGCCAGTTGATACAGAAACAAAGATGGTGGAGGGATCCCAGAAAGGGAAACGGCTCAGATGGAGTTTGGTGTGGGATTGAAGATGCAATTGAAATCTAATTCATTTTTATTTCTTTTTTTTTTTACATTTTTGACTTATTTCTCTGAATATGCCTTTATTTCAGCAAAATTACATTTTTTGTTATCCAGTTAACTATTAATTGATTATTTAATTAGTTGAATAAGCACAATTAATCCAATTTATTGTTTCAGTCCTAGTCAAATCAGGCCAAAGTTGAACTGGCGCTGGCAGCATCATGCAGGTCAAAGATCCATGAATACGGAAACTATTTTTAGGAATTCTCTCCTTCCAAACGTAATGGGAAATACCCAAATAAATATCTACAGCTGCAGCAAAAAGTGGTTCTCCAAAATATGAACTCTTTTAAAATTTTGTCCTCCTCCTCTTTCTGCTAAATATTCTTGAATAGTTTTGGGGTAGCTGTTTTGACTTCAACCAAATCCAGAAATCTCAGCTGATTATGTCAAAGTGGTAAAAGTGAAAAGTTTAATGGTCTCAGTGGCTTCTGGTGCAGAATGAGAGAGCAGGTGGGTGAACCAACCGGACCAAATCCACCCCAGAGGAGCTACCTCTGACCCAGATCTCAAGCAGATGGCAGAGTGGGGAGTATTTGCATGTTGGCCTTCCTGCCAGCAGTAGCTGTATTCAAATGAGGGAAAAATGTGAAAACACAGAGTTGCTGTCAGACCAGTTTGCAGTGACTTTTTGTGCTGTTGGTGGAAAGATGGCCCAGATTCAAGATGAATCCTGACTTATTGCTCCTCTCTGCCTTGCAGCCATGCTGGTTGGTGCGGCATGCCAGTTGTGCTCCGGGTCCCTGCGTCTGCAGGAGCCGACGGATCGAAGACACGCTGTGCAGCAGCTGTTTGTGTCCTCGTCCCTGGAGCAGCTGCTGCTCTACGTGCTCAACCTGGTCGTGATGGCCGCCCTGCTGCCGCAGGAGCAGCTGAAGCTGGTGCCCATACTGGTGGTCATGTTCATCATTGGCAGGTGAGGGTTAGGGTGGGTTGAAGGACTTAATGGTGACCTTTGACCTGAAGGAGTCGTCACCAAACACGAAAACGCCCAAAGGCTCAAAAGTATTCATACAGCCCGGCTTCTACAGGGTTAAAAGCTTCTGGCTCTCTGAGTGGAGGTTTGACCCAAATCCACTCCAGAATCTGAGAAGAGAAGAGAATACGATTTTTAATCTCAGAATTTTGACTTTAAAAAATTGTGTTCAGAATTTAATTGTCTCAGAATTCTGACTTTTTTCTCAGAATTTTGTCCTTTTTGTCTCACAATTTTGACATTTTTTCTCAGAATTTTGACATTTTTCTCAGAATTTTGACTTTAATTAATTCTGATTTTCTCAGAATTCTGACTTTTTCAGAATTGTGGCTTTTTTCTCAAAATTTTGGCCTTTTTCACAGAATTTTGACTTTAATTTACTTAAGCAGGCTGTCTTAAAACTACCGACTGTCAAATTTGAGACTGTGGATATAATGCAGGTTTACAAAAGCCCATATATGACGAGAAGGAATCTATTTTGTGATTATTTTCTGTTTTCATATACGAACAACACTACTGACCTGAGACTGTTTGGTTATTTGTTTGCATTCTGACATATATTGACACAGAATTGAAATTCTGAGTTCAAAGTCGTAACTCTGACGTTAAAGTTGAAATTCTTAGATTGAAATCAGAATTCTTCTCTTTATTTATTTTATTTTGTTAAGTGACCCTCATCCTGATCCTGATTTGTTGATGGATCTTATCATGGCTTCTTAGCACTGATGAAAAGCTGCTAAAGACAAAGTGAGATGATACTGATCAGGCTTAACTCGTTAGATTTCAGTGCTGTGCGGCTTATATCTTACTAAAAGTCAAAGCTTAGATATGTCTATGTTGAGTAATGCAGGTTTGTTGTTGGAAATACTTCATCTTGTAAACGTGACTGTCGAGAAAGACATAGTGTTTATCATAAATATCTGAACGTCCTCTGATTTCCTGTTTGGGTTGTTATCTCGTCCTTCTCAGGCTTGTTTTCTGGTTCAGCCTGAACACGTGCGGCTCCTGGAGAGGCTTCGGTTCTGGTCTGACCTCCTTCCCGCTCCTCGCCGTGGTCGCTCTCAATCTGTTCCTCATGTACAATCTCAATCTCAAACAGCCCCTATTTGGCCCTCAGGACGCCCTGTACAATCAGGTCACCCCGTCCTCCTGGTCGGGGGAGACATCGCAGAGCCCGAGCGGCAAACCAGACGTCCTGCCCACAGACATCCTGGACGCTCAGTGAGAGGGAGAGCTGCGCTTTCTTCTCCGAGAGGAGGCCATCCTCCCAGAAATAGGCCATTCCTGTGGTCTGCTGCGCAGCAGAGCTACACCCGCCGCCGCTGTAACCTCCAACTATGTGACGGCTTTTACTTGTTGCTCCTCCTGTGTGCAGCCCTTTTTCATGTGGTTTTGTGCTTTATTATCTGAAATGCAAGCGCTCTGCCTGGCTGTGGCCGAGGATGCCTTTGAACAATGCTGTACACATAAAACTTTTGTCTTTTTAAGCTGTTCCAATGCCTATATTTAAGTAGAAGCTCTGCCCTGTACGCGGCTGGTTTTGTTTCACCGCAAAGCAGCTGCAGTTGTCAGATTTTACTAGTTTGACTTTACAGAGGGTTTGTACTGGACAGAGTCGGAATAAAAACCATTTGTAAGAAAAAAACATAGAGCTGTCTTTTTCTGGTGCTTTTTTTTTCCTAGACTGAGCGATTATTCCTGGTGAAGTGCAGAGACTGTCATTATGTGATAACATGTTGCTCTCTGTGTGTCTCCACCCTGCTGGCATCCTCTCTTCTGATGAACCTCCTGGGTTTGTGGCTCCCAAATGAGACCAGAAACCAGGAGAGAGTAAGATTCACTCAGTTTGGTTTCTCAGTCAACTGGAGATTAATGAGCTCTTCAGTAATTAGAGGTCAGACACTGAAGGTGCTCGTTAAGTTAAAAACTGTTTGAGTTTTTTCAAGATCAGATGATAAAATCTATTTGCAGTCAGGCTGGTTGTAGAAAAGAACCCTAAATGTTTTGAAGTTATGATAAAAATGATCTTAAGATGTAAAAAGACAAAAGAAGAATATTGCTTTCTTCAACTGGATCAGATCTGACATATGATTTTAATCTAAAATCCATCCATCCATCCATCCATCCATCCATCCATCCATCCATCCATCCATCCATCCATCCATCCATCCATCCATCCATCCATCCATCCATCCATCCATCCATCCATCCATCCATCCATCCATCCATCCATCCATCATGTTGTACATTTGTGACCGTATTTTGGGTTTGGAACATAAATTAATCTGTTTATCTCAGTGTTCAGCACAAAGCTGTTCTTTCATTCTGCTGATCAATCTGTGTAACAAAAACTAAATTCAGCTTCAAGTGTGAATCTTTTCACAGCGTACCATCAATACTTCACAGATTTAAACAGCACACATGAAAGGTTTGCAAATGTGAGGATGAATTTCTGTATTGTGATAACACCTGCAAGCAGCTGAACCAGTAGAACCAGTCAGCAGCTCACCTGTAAATATCTGGGTTACTCAAAACCAAGCCCAAACCACTGGGTAAAATACTATTAAACATATAAAACTCCACTGGGTAAAATACTATTAAACATATAAAATTTAATACAATTTGTACAAAATTGTATTAAATTTTGTACAAATTTTGTACAAAATTGTATTAAATTTTGTATAGAAAAATTTGAGACCGGTCTGGCACACTGAATACATTCACATTAGTGCTCCATTAGTACTTTATTTCTTGGCATTTCATTCAATTTAAAGTTGGAAGTTTATTCTTATTCTGATAAATCTTTTATGCGTTAATAATTTTGTATTTTCCTGTATCTAAAAGAGTTCATTGTTAAACACAGATGTTGTCTTAAATGCTTCTTATGCAACTCTGCTCTGAAAATGCATAAAGAGAGCAGGGATGTCACAGAGAAGACAGGAACATAAAGTTTGATTTTGAGTAAGTACAAAATTGCATTATGTACTTTCTTTTGACAGATGTTATTGGTCAATATGAGGAATTGGTCAATATGAGGAATTCAGTGTTGACTGATCATAAAAAATCTAAATAGATGGGAAAGTTTATATTAATATTTTCAAGGCAAATGTCAGAATTTATGATTTTCTAAAAAAGAGAAATAAACAGAATCATGCAACAAAGTCCACAGCTTTGCAAATGCAGATGTCAAAATGCTATTGCAGCCATGTGTGAAAGTGTGCATAACACAGATGTTATCTTTACTGATGCCTTGTGGGTCGAACATAACATCCTCAGATCTCTAAACCTAAGCCAACATTTTTTCACTGAATAAAAGCTGATAAGACTTTTCCCCCCTGCCTTTAGAGGTGGTTCTTTCAAGAAGTATTTTTCTGAATCATTACTCACGTATTGTGAGGCAGCAGCGCCATCCACCGGTTGGAGTCGCACATGCACCGGAAGAGACCCTTGATGTAACCAGACCATTAAAGATGGCGGCGCTGGCGGGTAGGTAATGTTTTGATTAAACTCTTTCACATTTATTTTTAACATTAATGACGCCTCTGAATTAATGTTGCCTTTGGTATTTAAAATTAAGTTCAGAAATGGTCAGAATCTGAGTTTGTGACAATGCAGGAGGTTGTATTTGTAACTTTTAGAGACGTGGTACACTGACCTTGCTCCGTCTGCTTTAGCCAAGCGGCTAACAAGGGTTAGCTTGGACGCAGAGTTACATGATGAGTTCCAGCTGAAAACCCAACATTACAGCTATAATTGTACACCATGTGACTGATTTTTGACGCAGTATTTTTAAATTGTACAGTCGGTTTGTGTAAATGAGGCGTAAATAAAGATTTTTCACTCGTTTAGCTTACATTGTTGGAACCAAACTTATCGGGAAAACGCTTCTAGTTTAGATGTTTTATCTGCAATTGTAATAAAAACTGCAAGGAATAGCAATTAAAAGCTTGAATAAAGCCAGACAGACATGGTGAACATTTCGGCATCCATATAAAACCATCAAATAACTCAGTTACATAGTTTGGCATCTTTATTTTATGCAAAAATATTGGCTGTGATTGGCTTTCATATCCTTATCCTGAAATGCAGTGCGAGAGTTTTACATGTTCACGTTTAATTTGTTTCACCCCACATATCATTTAACATCAGTCTTCAAAACTACTGAAAAAACAAACGGAATGTTTGTGTTAAGTAATAAAAAAAAAAAGATTTATTATGCCAAATTTGGACGCATTTATTACTTTCTTACGATTATAATTATTTTCTTATCCTGAGCGTTGAAACGCTTCATTACTGAACATTAAGAATGATCTATGCTGTTGTTCAATGAGATGTGAAAAGTAGTCTGACTTTATTTGTAATTTTGAATACCTTTGAATAAGCTGTATAGAGTTGATCGATTCCTCAGACCGAAGGGAGTAGACAAATTAAAATATTAAGTTTGTATTTTTATTTATTTTTCCATCTTGTACATAAACTAACTGAATAAAAATCTTTATCCATCTTGATATGTAAAAATTAGATTAATTATGCCAGGAAATACCTCAATTTAACTGCCTCGTTTGGATAGTACAAAAAAAAAGCAATTTTAATTTCACCTCACTGTAAAACGTATTGCTCATTCATGGCCAATTTTGAGAATATTTTATTATGAGTTACATAATTATGATTATTATTATTACTACTACTTGACAGTAAACTGTGACTTAAAGTGTTATTTAAGAGACAATAAGGATATATTCACATATGATTAATGTAAGAGGTGTAACAAGCATCCTTGGTTTACTTTTGTCAGCTCCAGATTACACTTTTTATTATATAGTATATTGCATAACAACATTTGGATATGAATTTTTGAAGTTTTTATGCATTTGTTTGTTTACAAATGCCTTTATTTTGCAGGACCTCGCCTCGCTCTGTTTGGCTCTTTTTCAACCAGGTAAAAACCCTCTAATCTTGTTACTGGTTGGCTGACTCTGTGCCTCCTGCTGTTTTGTGCCTTGCAACAATAAGAGCTTGTTTTAGGAAACGACTTTGTATTTTTGGGAGTGGGGTCAGATGGTCTTCAGTCATAGAAAATGATTCATGATGAAAAGCAAATACAGAAACATTTGCTGTTTTCTGCTGACAGCTGCAGTGTTCAGCTTGTCTGCCTTCCAGAGGAATCGCCTAGTTAAGCTCGAATGCATCATGAAGTTTAGAGACTCAGAAGAAATAAGTCCTTCCATCTGTCTTTCTCACTCTTTCTATTTCTCATTTATATGCTCAAGTAATTTCTTTCTCTTTTTCCATCAGGCCAATTTCAGTTTTTGCTATTCAGCAGAAATGTCTCCACAGCAGCGCTAAAGGTGATAATACCACCAGCACCAGGTGAGCTTAAGCAGGGGACTGACGTAACACACACCGGGTCACCATGGGGCACATGTTAAATGGCTCCTCTGCCTCTGTGTTTGCAGTGTTGTGCCAGTCAGAGAGAAAAGCACAGCTCTGGCTGCAGCCAAGCCATCAGCAGTGGCCAGCAGCAAGGCGGACTATGTGGTGGCGAAGCTCGACGATCTGATCAACTGGGCCCGCAGAGTCAGTATCTGAGAAGAGGCTGATTTGGATTAGATTTACAGTGTTCATTGTTGCATTCCTGACATCCACTATATTGGCAAAACACATAGACACACTACATGTTTATATTTACTTCCCAAAGTGATAGATTTTGTAGTCTATTTCCATGACAAATGTTTACAGATCTTTGTTTATATTTTGCTAATTAAATAAAAAAAAGCAAAATTTCACAATTGCTGTGTTTCCATTAAATATTAAATGAAATTAAAATCACACTTGAAGAAGCTTGTTCAAGCATAAGTGTTTAAAAATCATGGCATTTAAACAGATAGTTTTATTTATTTCAAACTGGTTTTAAAAACAATCAGTAGGACTGAAAGAACATGTGCAAACATAGCCAAGAACAAAATAATTAGCATACTTTTCTGTTTGAAAACGAGTAGGAGGAAGTAAAGACTTATTTAATCCAACCCCTTTTCTCAACTTAATTAAATATATTACTTACCAACTCAATAATTATCTAAAAATTGTAATTAAAACCATGTTATAATATTCATGTTGCTGTTCAATAAACTGTGCTGATGAGCTAATAAATAAATTACATAACATGCAACATAGTGGGGGAATTTGTCATTTGGAAACTGAATAAAGTTTAATTTTAAACAGTAGTACCACAATAACCATCAAAACCCATTAACAGTTTATCGTATCTACACACTCATTGCAACCACAACTTGCAAACATGGCAACCTTACAAAATCCTCTCTTACAATAAAAAATAAACCTGGAATACCTACAGTGATATCAGGTATCACTTACTTTTTGCATTTTGTCTTATCAAGATGTTGATTGAATAAATATCGGTTTATTCTCTGCTTCGTTTCTCCCATCAGAGCTCTCTGTGGCCCATGACCTTTGGCTTGGCATGCTGCGCTGTAGAGATGATGCACATGGCGGCCCCTCGTTACGACATGGACCGCTTCGGAGTCGTGTTCAGAGCGAGTCCTCGACAGGCTGATGTCATGATTGTGGCGGGAACTCTGACCAATAAGATGGCTCCGGCTCTGCGGAAGGTGAGAGGATGGAAAGTCTCATAAATACATGTTGACTTTTCGGTTGTTTTTGCTCCTGATAGTCCAGGAGACATGGTTCGATTCGGGACCAAAATTGCAACATTTGTTACATTTTCACATTGCACTGCATTAAATGATCCAAACGCTTCAAAGAACCTAGTCCCCTCCTCACCCCTTGAGGGCGCTGCAACAAGAACCACTGAAACAAAACAAAAACCTCTGAATAAGACACCGAGGGCAACTTCCTTCTTTACAAAATACAATAAAAAGGGAGTTGAGTCAGATTTTAAGAGTTGTCGGATTTCCCTTTTGTCTTTGGTAAAAGACCACGAGTCATTTCTCCTGCTGGCATTAGACTCCTGCGTATGTTTTGGTTGTATTTACCCAGAATGCCTTGGATTATAGCCCACTTCCTTCTTTTGGGCCAGACTCTGGTCCGCTTGGTGTTCATATATCCAGACCTCCCTTCAATTGAACCGAGACAGAGATTTTAGGCAGACCAGAGTTCACATTTTTAGTCCCCAAACAGAGCAGACTTTGTATTCAAACTAAATGGATCACAAATTCATTTAAAGGAGACCTGTTAATGCAAAATTTATTTTTTGCATGTCTTTTTTTACATCCATTTCTTTCTCAACTGTTTCTAAAGTCATTTGACATTTTACAAGACTTTCCAACTTGTTGGTTGTTCTGCTTCACAGAACAACAGGTGCATAGCAGATACATCTGATGTACAGATGTATAACAGGTGCACAGTTACACAACTGTGCACCTGTTTGCAGCTATTTTTATGTGCAAGTGAGCTGGGGGCGTGGCCAGCAGCAGCCGATTGGATTTAAAGTGACAAGGCCCTAAAACAGATCGTTAAGAAAAGAGCCCATTTACTGACCAGACTAAAATCTAATTGTCTGAGTTTGTGTGAAAAAATGTTATGAATATGTTTGTATATCCCATAAACATATCTCAAGGAGGCAGAATAAAACATTGACAGATTGACGCATGAAATGCAGATCAATAATAATCCTCATCTGAGATTATGTGTTCCTTCTTTTAGAGGTCTAATAGAAAAGCGTTGTTTTGTTTTCAGCCTGTAGACACAGACAGTAGCATCAGTCAGATGGAATCACGGCGATGGGAACAGTATAGCTGTGTTAAAGCGGGCTGGATTAGGAGCAGCCTGTTGATGGATTGGCAGAGCGGCGTGGAGCTTCTCTCCAGCTGAATATACAGATTAATTCTGACTATAGCTAAAAGACTCCTTCCATCCAACAGGTGTACGACCAGATGCCTGAGCCCAGATACGTAATTTCCATGGGAAGGTGAGTTATTCGTCCATGTTGTTGAATCAGAAGAGTCGCAGTCAAGATATTTTTGATCCACTCTAAGGGTGGACAACACAGGCTTTGAATTTTATCACAACGTTTTGTGGTACTATTTTGACAATGACAAAAATTATGATTAAATCATTTTATTTATTACTTTTTTTTAGGTAGATTTATGGCCAAAGTGCCGCAAACATAAATCCTTCTCTTGAAAAACATTCCCATTTGAAGCAGGCTTCTTCAGGCCACCACTTACTTAAAGAAGTGTGAATAATATCACTAATTTAATTAATTTAATTAACTGACAGTGGTGAAAATAATAAACAATAACATTCCCTGTAATGCTGCCAGTTTGCTTTGGTTTTCAACATCAGTAATTGGAATTAAAAAATTTTTAAAGTGTAATTTAGTAAAAAAAAATAAAACAGATTTCATATGGTCTTACATACTTTAACTGACAACTCTGAACTGTATTTAGGCCCACATTGTGGAAATTGTTTGTACAGTCTTATTTATTAATTTAAGGACATCGTGGTTCAAAGTCACAGCTTAAAAAGCTATTAGGACCCAAAATGCTCAATTTATTACCTATTAAAGTAAAGTAATAGGCAATAAATTATTTTCTTTAGAAAATGTTAAAATTATGCATTCAGAAACCTACAATACTGTTTGCAAACTAAATGTGAATTATATTTATTATAGTTACAATTGTTTATCACATGGTGGCAGTATTTGCCTTCATATCGGCATTAAAGCTGAAGTTAAACTTAAAGCCCATCTGTGTCATGCACTCTGTGGTTTTTGCATATCTGTTGTCTCTAGACAGACTAAGAATATTTAACATTTTTCTGATTTCATTCCTGTAGTTGTGCTAACGGAGGAGGTTACTACCACTACTCCTACGCTGTGGTGCGAGGCTGTGACCGCATCGTGCCGGTGGACATTTATGTACCAGGTAGACTCAAGATTTATATGTCTAGTGATATAAAAAAGGAATTTTTGCACAGTTTAAATCTAATTATAATTTCTGTGAAACAGAATTTAGGGTTTATAGTGACTGTGAGTCACAATACATAAAAAACATTCATGTATTCCTCTCTTCAGTGAGTCTTACTTTTTGGGCTGAAATAAAGTTTTATTTAAATTGTAATTATTGATATGCTTAATTTAATTCTTAAAAACTAAATCATTTAATCTTCTCGTTAAACTAGGTCTGCAGCTAACAGTTATTTTAGTAATCTATTCTATCCATTATTCTGATCAATAATCAAGAAATTTGGGGGAAAAAATTAACAAACTTCATTTTTTTTTTCATTTAACATCTTAAATCTTTTTATATAATATTAAGAATACAAATACATTTATATTTTTACTGGCTAAAATCCAATAATATAGCATTCCTTTAGTGTACGTTTGATCATTTTCAGCATCTCCAGTTAAAAACATACTAAATAAATACTTGCATTCAAAAAGCTGCATTTAAGTATTTTTTCAAAGTCCACCCAGCAAGTTTTTGGTTATAAGTTGATGTTTTTTGGTGTTTGGAAAATGAGCCATTTCTCACGAATGTACCTGGAAACCCAGGCCATTACTTAGCAACCCCAGCAGAGCTCCACCTGTCACCTTGCAACCCTAGTAGAACTCCAGAACTGTTTGATCAGCTGGTTTTACCGTTGAATTCGCTGTACAATGGCTGCTGGAAAAGACAAATGTTTTGTTGTTGACTTCCTATTCAGAAACTACTAGCTGCATTCTTTTGTTTTGTGCAGAAGGCTCTACTTCTGCTTTTCAGAGAAGTATGTTAGTATTAACAGTCCAGATGTTTGCAGCCATTTTTATGTGCGAGTGTAAAATGTTGAGTTGGGGACAGGACCACTAGATAAAAATCTCAATATCTAAGAATGATTTTGTGCAAAAATGTAATGTATAAGTTTTGTATTGCTCAAAACTTGTTCCAGTAAGCACAATAAGTAAGCTTTAATGGCTTTTTTTCGTTCCCAGGTTGTCCTCCCACAGCAGAAGCTCTCCTGTACGGCACTTTACAGCTGCAAAAGAAAATCAAACGAGAGAAGAAGATAAGTATCTGGTACAGGAAGTGAGCGTGTAGTATATCTGTGTAAATCTGTGTGTAAATGTTGTATTTCTGGTTTCATTTGGAGCATTGCTCCTCTTCCGCATAGAGCAGCAGAAACTTCAGTAAATGAAATATTGTAATTTATGCAAAGCTGCTTCTCATGAGACTCACCAGCTTCTGCTCTGTTTTGGTTTCTGGGTCTTTAAATCACTGTTACTGTTTTAAAACACAGTTTAAAGACAAATCAGTTTAAGCAGCATTTATGACTCTACACATGGTTGTAAACAAAACAAGTGATGCACCACAATATAATAAATGTTATTTCCAATAAATTTTGGTTCATAAAAATCAAGGATTGTTGCTTTTGTCATTTTTGCAACTGCTAATTTATTTTTGACACAAACTAATGAACAACTGAGTTAGTAATTTTTTAGTCACAATTAAATAAATGAGAAACAATTTAAAAAATTGCTTGCAAATATTGTAATGCATAAATTAAATACATAAGTAGATAATTATATATATGAAAATTATTCAGTTGTGTTAAACTGCATAAATTTGATGGTTTCTGTTAGAACTTTGACCCATTATTCCTGACCTAAAACAGGAATTTTAAGTCAGACTGTGAAATATAAATGTATTTTTTGTACTTTGACTCATCTGGTTTTAACTTTGTTTTAATTCATCACTGACACAATTGTTGAATTATCCACATCCACATCATTTTAATGCCATAAAAGTTTTAAATTCATTAGGAAATAGTAAGTTAGCTTTAAATATGTTAATTACATGTCTTAAATTTGGTCTTGGAAGGTCTGTTTAATCTAACATATTGAATGCATTTGTCTCTCATGGGACTCCTAGGTCTGGCAAAAGTTTGAGTCACATGCAGATATCTTCATTGCATTCTTACTTACTGCTAATATACCATGCCAGTTAGCTGGCATTTCTCAAATGCCAGCTAACTAGCATGGGTAAGTGCAAATTTACCCAGTTAAATTCCATTCATAATGGTCTTTAAAGTCTTACATGATTCAGTCTGTAAAACATGCAGAAACCCTGATTATTTTTTTAGAGTCTTGCACCTTTTAACTTCCATAAAAGAAAGGTTAACGATGAAAATCATTTTCTAGAATCTAGCATCTTCAGCCGTATCTGCTTCACTGCATGCTTAATCATTGTAAAGGTAGAAGATTTATTTATGCAACACGCATTTGAACCCACAAATATTCACTACATTTGTTGGGAGAGTTTATGAGTCATGCATTCACTTTGTTATTGCTTCTGACTGCTCTTGTTCTGTAGCTGCGAACATATCAGGATTTGGTTACTGAATGCAGTTTTAATGCGTCATCGCTGAATCAGCCGCGAGTTTACATTGAAGCGCTTTCAGGCAGACGAACATTTGTTATATCTTACAGGCTTGGTTGCTCATAGGCAGATATTTTCTTTATTTTTGAAAAGATCTGCGGTGATGCTCGATAAAAGGCGGTGAGTTGACCATGTGTTTGATAAAACCTGGTAAAAACCAGCTCCACTTCCTACGCCATTTTCTTCGCTCTCTGCTGAAGTTTTAAATTTTACCCAGTCGTTAACGTTCGCCCGTGACATATGTAATGCGTCAGTAAAAAGCTTTTCGCTGCTAAAGAAGCCTGCACTGTAAGCAACCGTTCCTCCACTGCTGAGATATTAGTGCCGATCCTAGCAAGGCGGCTGTTAATATTAATTCAACGTTTTACACGAACTGAACGGCTAGTTCGCTCACCGTCTGACTAAGAACTGCAGGCGGACTACAATTCTAAAACAGCGCAGAAAATGTACGTCATCGCTCACAACTTCGCTGATTGGCCCGATCAAAAAAAAAAAAAAATACCGGAGGGAATCTAAACGAAGGAGAGAAAGCCCAAATAGTGAACAGAAAGCTAATGACCAGGCTAACACTACAGTCTTTCAATAATACTTCATTTTTACTATGAAAATAGAAGATTAAGACTTGGAATTTAGTCAGCGCTTGTTCTTTTTGGTCAAACGCAGACATGTTCCCTACAGTTCCTCCCATGTCCTTTTATATATCACTTGTAAGTGAACACTAGAGTTGGTCCTGTTTGGGATCTGTGGGCCGCCAGCAGATGTGGTTTCCCACCAGAGAGCAGTCTGTTGTTGCATCATCCATCCGTCTAATGATTAATGGCCCCTCGCCAGGTGGTTACTGGTTCCTACGTGTTCACTCTTTAATCTCACCTTACACTTATCTCAAACCATAAATTCAGACATCAGTCCTATACTCAGTTGTTACAGACAGCTTTAAGTAACTTTATTTGAATGCAAAACTTTTCATGCATGTCCATTTCTTTTTCATGCTGCAGCCAAACTCCAATATGTTTTCTTAGGATTTTATATGGCAGGCGAAGAGCATTTTTTTTAAATCCCATTTCTCCATTAATCGTCAGAATAATCTATAGAATAATCGACTACTAACACAATCCTTAGCTGCAGCTCTAAACCTATTTAAAAACAAGACTCGTTTTCAGCTAAAGTTGGTAAGAGCTATTGTGGAAGGTCAGAAGAATCACTTCATGGTGAATCTATAACATTTTCTGCAGTCTTGATGGGCATTTTTCATGGTTATTTTTACTTTAACCCTTTACATCACCTCTCATATTTAAGTAGGTTTTTGTGCATCATATTTCCTAATTTATCTTGCTTTTATCTTCAGAAATATTCACAGACAGAGGTGTGCAGATTTATAGATAGCACCTCATTTACATATTTAAGATTTTTAATTCAGAAACTTCCCATTCAAACTGTTTGCTTTTAAAATCACCTTTGAAATCTCCACCCTGGGAGGGTTTTTACTCAGCCAGCATTGTTGTTTTAAGGTTTATAAATAACAAACACAACACAACATAAATAACACAGGTACTGCAGACGGGGGGAACATCTTGCACTATAACTGCAACAAAGCATGTTTTTGTCCCAGTCTGTTAGTAATCATTTCACAGCTTAGACTTGGAGTGGAGGCGTGCTGGATGATGTAAGACCTGGAAACAGGTGAGTTTAATGTTGGAGGTATATCTAATAGACAAAAAATTCAAACTAGTTCAAGAATTTTATGACGGGAAGAAAATTCAGTAGCATCAGCTACGATAAATATAGGGTTGAAATGATTAATCGGTTAGTGAAGTGAAGGTCAATGCGAATTAGCAATCAATTAATCATTAAGTAGAATCATTAATTAAACCAAAACTATCTAAATATACATTTAAGAAAATACATATTTGTAATATTTTCTATATAGTACTCAAGTGACAAAAATAACTTCACCAATCATTTACTAAAACAAAAATAGATCAACCCTACACTGTATTGATATTAAATAGAAATGGCTGAGCTTGATGTACTTTTTCAAATCCATCCTTTGCTATAAATGATCAAACATACAGTGAAAGAAGAATATTTTTGAATTTAAGGCATTAAAATGCATATTTTCTAATTTAAAGTTGGAATTATTTGTGTCTTTTACTTTATTTCTAATAGTTTAAAAAGGCGTTCGTATAAAATCTGCAAAATGTGGCATTTTTAAAAAATCCAGCTGATAGATTAATAATTAAAATAATCGATAATTGCAGCCCTGCTCTATAAGTTCAACACATCCACCCTTTATTCCCCTTTATGACTTTTTGATTTTATAAAAGTGGTTTATAAAAGTGGTTTCTTTTTTTTTATCTGATTGATTGATTAGTCCTCAAAAATAACCAAAAGAATAAGCGATTACTGAAGTAATCATTAGATGTAGCCCTAAACAAATACAAAAAAAGATTAAATGCAGTCATGATGGAGTTTGTTTTATTAAAACAATGTTCAGTGAAATATGTGATTGGCAGGAGACAAAAGGCACATCTGAATATAAAAAGGCTGCAGCAGCAGCAGCGTCTTTGTCCTTCATTCTTTCACAATAGTGGGAGTGATCATCTTCTTGAAGGAGTAGTATTTGCATTCAGTGGGTGGTTCAATGTCCATGGTGGTGGTGCTAATCTTCTCCTTCTTGAAGCCGGCCTCGAGCAGATGGGGCACCTGGGTTTCCTGAAAATCATTAACAGAGACAGAGAGAGGCGGTCGGTCGGCGTGCGGTCCAATCCGGTTTATCAGCAGCAACCTTGACATGAAAGCAGCAGGTAACTCAGGTGAACTCAGTGATGTTTTCACCATCTGCGTGTGTCTCTTGTGATAATAGTCATTGTAATGGAAGCATCAGCATGTCCAAAGGAATGCAGATGCAAATTAGTTTCTGCTATAATCTGGTGCAGAAACTCAAATGGTGACATTTATGTTTGAGCTGTGATTTGTCCCTTTTTAAAACAAAGATTATCATCATCACTAATAATAATTATAATCTGCATGTTTTAAAAGCAGAGATCTCCAACTACAGGTTTCCAAAGCTACAACCCTACAACTTTTTTAGATGCGTCTCTGCTCCAACGCAGCTGAGTCAAATTACTGCACCACCTCTTCAGCGTCAAGTTTAAGACTGAAACAATTAATCGGATTGATCATGATGAATCGAGTTTAGAAATAATCGTCAACTAATCAAGAACTCAATTAATCGTTAACTGGAGCATACAGACAAAAAGAAGCCATTTGCTGAAAGAACAACAGGGCAGTAATTAAACCAAAACTTTACAAATACATGCATTTTATACTAAGATAGAAAAACCCTTCTTTTTATGTAGATATGTAGTGAATTTATGTGACCAAATTGTCTTATAAAAACTGTTTTTATGTTTCGGTTGCGTAGCTGGAGGTAATTCAATTGTTGTAGAGAAGCGGACGACAATCAGAGGCCAAACATGGAGGATTTGATTTTGATCATCAAGGTGACAAACCTGGAACATTTTCTCAATGTTGTCGTATTTTCCCTTGAGCAGTTCACCCCAGGAGGTCAGGTTGCAGTAGGTGAGGACGCCTCCAGGTTTGAGCATCCTGTGAGCGTGACCCTGCAGGTAAAGAAACCACATGCTTACTTTTCCCATCAAAAAAAAAAGAATAAGATGGTCTGGGGTCTCAATTGCCTCAGACTATAGAAACAATTCATCCTCCAGCTCAATAATAACATGATAAACACAGTCAAGACAACACAGAAGCTGTTTGTAAATGTATTTGACGAAACTGAAATACACAACTGAAAAGACCTTAAGGAGACACATCATACAAAAGTCACATTTTGCATGTTTTTATACGTTCACTTGGGTCTCGACTGCTTCTATAAACACTCCAGATTTGTTTTTTGGCAATAAGTTAATATTTTTTGGTATCTGAAAAACAAGCCATTTCAAAAATATTTCAATTGTTGAG